GAATGTCGGAAACAAACCTCACAAAGTCGCATCATGGTCTTCCGTCCACGAGGCGCATTCCACTGGGCTATGGTAGAGAGAGGCATGATGCAAAACCCACATCGGTTGGTGTTTTTAACAGAGCCACTGAGTGTTCGCCTCACAAATCCATGGGCCGGGCTACGATTATGTCAGAGGACTTCCGTCGGCGCTTCCTTGATGTAACGTTATTTGCGGATTCTTATCTACAAGTAATCGTCTTCCTGCTTTGACCGCCATGTCTTTCACTTTTTCATCGCCCTCTACATTTACCTAGATTCCAGGACCAACTTTTGAGATTCGGGCCAAAGTAACGTCGTGACGACAAGTCGGGCAAGTAGGATGCTGGCGCAGCCATGACTCTATGCAGGTTTTGCAGAACATGTGATCGCAGGGGGTCTTCCAAGAGTCGTCGAAGCCTTCTAAACAGATTGGGCACTGATCATGCCGAATTTGCTCCATGCAGCGTGAACGACTTCCCGTCACGTCTAGGTGAGCTCGGAGAGAGCCCAGCTCTGTATCTATGCGCTGCGGCTTGAATGTGAGTGTCAGACGTAGTTGAAAGCTTTTGGTTCTGAGCAGAGACTTACTGTGCTATGGTCATATACGCCACTATTCCTCAATTTTGGCTGCAAAACATCCAGGTCGCAAGACCATATTGTTTGTGCCTGGTCAATATCTTCGAGAGCAACAGCAAGCATTCCCGTCGCCTGCGCATTATCTGAGTGAATCACAAGACGTCGAATCTCTTCTTCGCACCGTTCACGCTGTAGGGCCGGAGAAATATTCCAAATATCGGCATCCCAGATAGCGAGCGCTTTCAGCACGAAGTGTTGGCGTCTCGTCTCATCACCGGCCATCCTTTGCACTCGGGCCAAGGCCAGAAGCGTTTGATGCTGCCGTCGTCGGACCCCATAGCAAAGCTCGTTTCTGTCGAATGGGTCAAACCGCTCTACGCTTGCTCTTTGCCATACTCCGTCACGGGCAGCGTCGTGATATCCACGACTTCCACACCCTGGGCAACAATTCATACTTCCTTGTATGGAGAGGCGAGCGTGAAGGCTGTGGGTGATTTCGTAAAATGGTGGCGATAGGAAGACGCCAGAAGGATTATTAGTCAAGTATGGTCGAACTTGAAAAGAGGAGAGGGTGAGTGAGAGAGAAAATGGGAGGGCCTCGGGATATTTATACCTGAAGCTCAGGCTAGATATCGACGCTCGGTTCATCTTGCGGACCTGAACGCGTCACGCGTAAAATGACCCGAAAGGGCCCAACCGAGGGTCGAACCGTCGTCGTGTGCAGGCAGTGTCGGTGCGCCGTGTGGCCAGACGAGATCGCGGGACATTTGAACGGGCCGCAGCATCGCCAGGCAGCGCCAGTAGCGACGGTGGCCGCAGACGACATCCAGGCATGGCCAGGCGTCGTCTGTTCTCGTAGCGTGAGATGTGTTCGGGAGGGTGCGTCCACGAAAGCAAGGGCGCGACCACTAGCCAGTGCAGGCGTTGTCATCGACTTGCTTTACTTCCTTTGCGTGTGCGACGAAGAAGAGCTAGAGCATCTAAGAAACGACGATCCCCACGCCTTGCACGACTACCTGTCAACTCCACTCTTGGTCCGCGATGCCATTGCTCTTACCCTCTGCGTTGTACTTCCGTATCTTGCGGTCTTTCTTGTTTGCCTGTGCACTCAACGTCGCCTGCAACGACGCCTTCGGCTTATCCTCTGGACGACCGCGTAAGGAATCACGTCTTTTGTTTTTGAGCCAGTCGATAATGCCATCGATGTGCAGGCCTTCCGGATTACTACTTGGTGCATCCCATATCAGGTCAAGATTAGAGGGAGTCGGACGATACCGAGAGTTCTCGGGACTTAGCGTTTGTGAGGTTGTCGAGGCCGTCGCTTAGGTCGCATCGGCAGAGTATCGTAGTTGCAAGCAAACGCCTAGGGACGGATTACCCGCGAGCGCTACGTCTTGAAATTGATTCGGTCGCTGGATTGTCGCAGTATAGAATGATTGGTCGCGTGTCGTTCCGACTTCCCGGGTTTGAATATTGAATACATGCCACAGCCGACGACTGTCACCGCAATGGATGAACTATTCCCTTATTCGGTCTGAGCCAATTGAGCTGTCGAAAGTTGACGAAAGAAAGGCCGG